TCCTCTCGAAAATATTTGACGTGGAGATGAGCATGTGGTGAGAGCTGGCTGCTAGCCAAAGTTGGTAGACAGTAATTGACGTCAATGTTTATGTCCCCAATATTGGTGGTGAGAAAATGAGAACAAAGGCTTTGCGTAGGCGGGTACAGTTAGCATATGGATGATCTGACACAGCCACAAAGAGATGCAAGGTTAACTTTCTGTGAGAAACAACCAGTCAAAAGACTGTGTTTTCTACTAACAATAACCTACAATAATGTACATTAAAATCTATAAATATGTGTTGATTTTCCTTAATAAACGATCTGTTGCCTGGCCCTTGTCTTCTGTTGTTACAAGTATGGCATGTGCTACCTACAAGACTTATAAGTAGTATATATATACAGACATAAATATGTATATCATCTGTAAGAATATCGATTTAGTGGCGAACAGAAGAAATGAACGATACCAATAAATAAATTCGTTGCCAAATACTCTTGTGTTCTGCCACTAGAGTCACTTATGCTATTCAGTATTATAAAAACTTTTATCTAATATTGAAATATGCAACACCTAGGTTATTATCTAAGACAGTATTATAGATACGAAATACAATTATTTTAAGAGTGAATTCCAGCGTTAGTTCTCTAGCCGTTTAGTATCTAGATAATCATGTTTTATAGAAAAACATATTCTCATATGGTTGTTGCATAATGCGCACAACCATATTTGTAATGAAAGATGAACAACTTCTTCTCGGTTGATGGAAACACCAGTTCAGAAGAATTACTGGATAAATTTCAACAAAAATTGGGCCGTAGATCTGGCGTGCGTGCAATCTTTTCTGATTCATGAGAATAAAAATAAGTTGAAAAATTCGCCAGACATTAGCAACAGAAAGTGTGGTGAGAGCTGTCTACTAGCCAAATTGGTAGACAGTAATTTACGTCAATGTTTACGTTCTCAAGATTGGTCGTGAGAAAATATGAATAAGACTGATTCAAAAACCGACCACAGCAGACTTTGCGTAGGCGGATACAGTTAACATATAGATGATCTGACATTCAAGAAACAGTCACAAAGAGATGGAAGATTAACTTTAAGTGAGAAACAACCAATCAGAAGACTGTGTTTGTTTACTTAACTAATCTATAATAATCTACATGAAAATATATAAATATGCTTTGATTTCATTAATAAACGATCTGTTGCCTGGCCCTTGTCTTCTGTTGTTACAAAAGAACTAAAATATATATATATCCACCAAAGTTTTCAAAGTATAACAATGTAGGTACCGTAAAAAATCTATTCTTAAAGATAAACTCTGAAATTAAGATTAAACTTAAGACAGCAATACATCTCGTACATACTAGTAAATTTTACAGCAAAGACAATACAAATTTAGTTGACATGTGAGAGGGAAACTGGCCTAGATTATGACAAGCTTTAGGTTGGGGGGGGGAGGGGATACAGGTTTATGGAATTAAACTGTTCGAAGTCCACATGTATCCACTTTTTCTAATCCAATGAATCATGATGAGACCACAATATTTCGGTACTATTCTATCACCTTAGGCATGGGACAAAGTTTTGCTAGATTAATTAAATATACAACTATCACATGAACCAAGAAATATTCCATGTGAGAGGATTGTTTTGAAACTTACCAGCACTTTAAACCTTCCAACTTTTGATGTTATCTAGCGGAATGAAAATAAAACTACAATTTTATTTGTACAGTTTCAAGCAGTACCAGGCGAATGGTTTCACTTAAACTTCAAGGATGATATTCACTGTAAAGCTATTTGAATAAATACTGTTACGACACAGTGTTTTCCAGTGGTTACGCTCGTTTTTCAATACAACTTTCCATACGTCTACTTTTGTTAAGCTGATGTGCATTTACAGTTCTACCAGTGTTTCTCATATCTTCAAATGGTGATTTGAATCGACAGTGTCTACGCCTATAGGCTTTTATTGCTTCACATATTTTTCGTAGGACTGACTACAACAAACTTTAGGGATCCTCTTGAAAAATATTGCTGAACATTATTCGATATGGTTGATGAAAGATATCATGAATATGTAAATAACAGTGAGCGAAATCAACTCAAAATAACTTCATACACACGTTAGATATTACTATTTGTTGCTAAATATATTTCAGACAGAAATTTTATATCATTTAACACTTTCTCCTCACCTTCAACTGACGCAGCATATGGGATCATTTGATGAAAACTATACCTACCTATTCCCTACACTGTTGAATAATAAAATATATCTCAAATAACATCTTACACATTTCGAATTTTGTTAATTGTAATACTAATGTTAATCAATGATTTATCATTCCCAGTGGCGAAATTTAGACAATGGTGTTATTCTGCCAACAAATGTTTTATTTTATGAAAAAAGAAAAAAACACAACATGAAATACATTCAAAATGTCCTAGAAAATCACTTTCAGAAAAAAAGTTTTAATCAAAATTGCAATTTACCCGGTTCGAGGTGAATTTTCAAAACACAATATGAGATCTATCTGATTCCTGATAAATGTGATAAACAAGAAAGCCAGCACAAATGCGTGACGCTATATACTACCAATCAATATGAATAGTTGTATAGCATTCAATACAGCAAGTAATGTTTAAAGCTGAGGCTATAGATATTCTAGATCCGACTACTTGTGTATCAACCAGCAAATTCCTAAGTGACTCTCTTGGCTTTAGCCACTGTTTATTATTGAAAACAAGTGCTTGAATTTCTAACTCATGCGTGGAAAAACTTCTGGTCTTCAGCAGGCTCACAGTTTTCAGAGACTACTACTCACAGTTGGAAACTGTCTCTAAGATTCGTTAGTGCTGGATCCGATGCTGGGTTGCAGTTTATTTTTCAGTAACAGCATTCTCATAGCATTTTTATTTTTAGCTTAACACATCATCGATTTTTAATAGAACTTGAACCAGACAAATAAGTCTACCAACAATGTGATGATATCTCAAACAAGATTTCTGTAAAAACGGACTGCCATGCATACACCAACTGGCGACAATACCATTATATTTAAGCACGTCTATTATCCAAGTTATTATAAAACGATCGATAAGCCAAGCAGTTAATCAGATTATCACTAAGGACAATATTGTTAAAGTCTAACAATAGCCAACATCCATGTCTACCGATTGGTCTAACGTATTCAATGCGCTGATCAATTTTTATTTTCCATGAATTAAGCTCCTGTAATGTGAGATGATAAATTCTGTGTTATCAATATGCAAACTTGGAGGATCTTGACTTCGCCGATGATATATGTCTGATTTCCCACAAACTGGAAGACATGCAAGCGAAAAGCAACAAGTTAGCAGAAGAAGCATCAAAGATACAACTTCAGGTGAACATAGAAAAAACAGAGGTGATGAAAATTCCTGGGCAAAACCACCAACAGCAACAATCAGCATAAATGGGAGAAATCTGAAAGAAACAACCTCCTTTACCCCTACCCACCTGGGAAGCATCGTTTCAACTACAGGCGGACGGACCTGACGAGGATATCAAAGGAAGAATCGGAAAAGCAAGACAAGCTTTCACTACTCTCAAATCTGTGTGGAGGTCAACAACACTCAGCATCAAAAATAAGATCCGGATTTTCAACTCCAATGTGAAGTCAGTGCTACTCCCTATACGGATCAGAGGCTTGCACTGCGCGTCATAAAGAGCATCTCAAACAAACTACAGACCTTCATTAACAGTTGTCTTCGCTCAATACTCAAGATCAGATGGCCAGAAAGGATCGGCAATAGTGATGGATCTCTGGGAGCGAACCAACCAGGAACCGATTGTGAAACAAATAGGCAGGAAGAAATGCAGATGGATTGGCCATACTCTTAGGAAACCATCAAGTGACATCACTAGACAAGCCATTGCTCGAGTGGAACCCGAAAGGGAAGCGGCGAGTTGGTCATCAATGCAAGGGTGACTTGGAGGAGGTCATGTGAAGAGGAGATGAAAGCATGTGGGCAGACATGGAGCCAGGTGAAGACTCTAGCAGAGAACAGAACGCAATGGAGACGCACGGCTGAAGCCCTATGTTCCTGTAGGAATTAAAGGATACAATAATAATAATATGCAAATTGTATCTTGCCACCTGTAAAAAAAGAACTGTGCCTGATGTCGTAAAACATCCCATTAAGCAAACTTGCAGCGTTTATGTACCTGAATGTTATCTTACACACAAATGTAGTTACTAGACAGAGATTTCAGTCAACAAGGTGAATAACCACATTACTGTTTTGGTGATAAAGTAAACTCATAGATTATTTCAAATAAACGTGAATGCTTAAATTGCCTCTTGGCTCGTTTGTAGTTGAAAGAGCTTTTAATTTATAAGACATAGTTTAATGATAACGACAACGATAAGCTAATACTGCCTTCATTACATCAAGATCTGAATCTATAAATTCACAAAGACACGTCCAGGTCGATATATTACCAAGAGAATAAGGTGAATATTTACTTTCACCAATACGCACACACGCACAAGGGGATCCATTAGACAAAATCAAACAGGGTGGAATCCAACGACCGCCACCTACTGGACACAGAATATATGACAGACATCAAAGGTATTTCTTTTAATAGTCAATATATGTATATGTATATATCACTTAAACAATGAGATTAAAGTTCAGCTTTTGAGTCTGCAATCAGTCAACCTTATCCTACACACTGGCATATAAATACTGAATCCAGTAATGCTCCAAGATGAATGCAACTTTAAATTTACTTTACTTAACAGTTTTAGTAATAGAATTTAATTTGTGAATGGTAACTAGCAGTGGAATCCAGGATGCGCATTTCGTCCTATTTGGGACTCGTCAGCTGGATGTACCTGCATTTCCCAGTGAGTGATGATGTTCCCACCGAGGCTCCAACCTATGTCAACCTGAGCCCGAGCATTTCGGTCCAATCAGTCGACGGGAAAATCTCAAATTCAATTGAAGTTTTAGTAATAATGCATCCTCATTTATATTACGCAAGAAAGTACAATGGAAAAATGAGTGTTCAAGAGAATTTGCTGACTCTGTAGTCGGTCAGATTCAACTGACGCATTATTGACTAGGAAGAAAATATTCAGTGGACAGGATAGAGAATACGAATAAGAAAAAAGTGATTTTGTTTCTCTCTCTGTCTCTCTAGACGATACTTTTGATGTTAGGAAAACACATAAGGGTTGTGTTTACAGAAAAGAGACTGTTCAGTTAGGAAATTCAACAGCCTCATATAGACTGGGGCAACAAACGTGTAAAGAACACCTCATTTCATTAGTTTTTTGTTTAAAAAAAATTACCATTCACTCAGTGCATAATAACAAGCACATGTATTGATTTTTTACTTCTAAAATAATTCCTGAAGGTAATGAATAATATTGGCGCGTGATAATCTGTTATACCCTCCCCCTTTAACTTACACTTACAACAAAACCACCAAGTAATAGGCTGGATTTAGAAACAGCTGACAGTGACAGAAAAAAGCAAACAAACTCAAAGATAAATACAGAAACATCTTACGCATGAAATAAGTAATATAGTGACACGACCAAGGATGTATGGTAAGAGCGGCGGGGTTGGGGGTGGGATAAAGCAGAGAGTATCTGGCACTAGAATTAAACAAAAAATATTATAAGCGAAGACATGAGATTTTGAAATGAGAGTAACGATAAGATTCCAGGTTAAAAGAGTACGGAAGAGGATATATCGTTGCCGGAGAAGTAAAAAGGGGGGGAGACATTGCATAACCATCTTCTTAACAGAAGAAGGAAAAACACACAGTTGAAACTATACAAAACAGAGCACTGTGGTGTATTGTAACATGTCAATTACAACGTGAAATTAAAATATAGTTACTGATATTAATTATAAGGGTCGTCACATTATGAGTAGATAAGGTATATATGCGTACACATCTAGCGTGAAATGTTTGAAAGATATCACAAATATATATATATATATATATATATATGTATATATATATATATGAAATTATGTAATATTATTATAGTCAATAAGTGAACACATTAGAAACAAAGAAACTGGTGAAAAGAAAATCAATGGAATATTGAATGCATATTAGAACAAAATCAAAATTACCAGACAAAAAATATAAGTATATTATGAAGTCAATTAGTAGATGATAAATAAGTAAATAAATGATAGAACTGTACATAGCACGCTATGGATAATAATAAAATTGTGCTTATTTGACCTTTTTCTAAAAGACAAAACGTATTCAGGAAACTGGTAAATCTTTATATTAGATGTATAGTCAGTAAAAATAAGGAACAAAAACACAAGTTATGCGTGAATTACAGAAATTAGCTTGTAGTATGAAGCTTACTTTCAACAAATCAATCATATACTCCTAGAAAAGTAATGCTAACGACTTAGTGACCATTTTACAGCATCTGATACACTGTATCACAAACGCAATGATTTCATAACAAGATCAGCAATCGGACGGAAATGCAACGTTGAACCACGTATTCGTTTCAGTCGAACACCTCGCAAATGCACACGTGGTAACTGACATACCTCCATTTCCCAATGAACTGGATCGCCACGCATAAGTCCACCATGAGTTGGCATGTCAAGAGGTGAAGACAACTGAGTGTTTGTTAATCCTTTGGAATCAGTTTCTGAAGTTGATGTTTTCAGAGCAGGTCGATCAGCTGCCCATGAGCATTGCAAAAGGAAAGGAAGATGCGGGTCGTATGAATAACGACAACCAGGAGTGACTTCAAGAGCATGTATAATGCTCTTAAGAAGTTCGTCTGCTGTTTTTGTGCTTGTGGTATACACACTCCATGGAAACCTCACCTCACGAGGTTTATTTAGAGGTCGTGTAGATGAACTGTCCGGTCGTACGTCTGTTGATTTACTGAAAGTGGAAAAAAAGGGAGTTATAAGGTTATTTGCGACCGATGCAAGCACGAATAATTTTACAGGTTAATGTTAAATCTATACCATATAATTCCTCGAATTTACAAAGATACTCAAAATTGAATTTCTCTTGAATATCCAGCACAGAGAAGAGGGACAAGAAATAACACTTATTTGGAATACAAGCTTTTTAATCAAGTACAGTCGAAGAGCAACTAAAAACGTAGGTATGATACTTCGATGCTCTATTCTAGGACTCACGAGCAAAGTCCAATCTGAATGCAGATTGACTTGTACTGTTTACACATTCAAAACAAAAATGACGTTAAATTCATTGTTTTCTGCTTTGTATGTTATAAAGAAACACAGTTCTACTTCGAAAGTATGTATATATATAGTTGAAGGAGAATATGATATTTCATTTCGCAGACTAGTCTGACTGTTGTCATAATCTTTTTAAAACTAAAGCCTGTTCCAAGAAAAAGACAATAACGCAGTCGACATAATATGTAGAGTATTAAGTGAAAAAGAGGAACTAAGGAAACTTATTATTATTTATTCTTTCACGTTCACAGTGGAACATAGGGCTTTAAGTTCCTGTAGCAGTGTTTACTTTTACAAGACGGGGTTGCTAGCCTCATGCCCAACCTTTCCTCTTTACCAGCTTTTTTATTACTGGCTCAGCGAAATAAGGGAATGCGTCGGCCGGGGATCGAACCCCAGACCATGTGCATGGTCGGCGAGAGTCCTAACCGCTGCGCTAAGGAAACTACTCCATATTTATAAAGATTCTGTACAAGCTAGAAAAAAGAACTTTTAATCGAAGCCACACTGACGCCTAGTGTTGGTCAAGAACACATTCTATCAACTCTTCACAGATATTTACCTTAATGTAATTCCATTTTTAAAAATAACTAGACAAACAGTCTACCAACGTGTACCAGGTGATTTGAATACCTACTAATTAAATCAATGGCAATCTGCCGATTCAAAGTTATTCTACATAATTTCAACAACAATTCAACCTTTCTGTCTGATTTTAGCACTGAATTTCACACTATGCACACATATGCTTAAACGTAACAGCAACAGTCACGACAACAACAACAATAACAGCAACAACAATATCGTCTCATAAATATGATTGCACTACTAAATTAATAACAAGTGAAAAAAAAGCTTTATACGTCATTTTGGTCTACTTTTGCACGCTTAAAATAAGAAATAAGAACTGAATTTCAAACTATTTGTCTGTCTATTCGGTAAGTGTGAAGTGTGCATGTACTCACAAATTCAAAGGAAAAAAAATTACTTGAATGAATTCTAACTAAGAAGAATGATTAGGATTAATACAACAACATCTAAAGTTATTTAGCAAGTGTTTTAAAGTCTGAAAAAAAAACAAAAAAAAACAACCACATTCTAAAATCATAAAAGCGCGTGAATTCTCAAGATAGAAAGATTTATATATATATATATATATATATGAGCAGAACACTTGATAAAACAAATCAAATAATCGTAGGCAAGAATTCACTACTAAGACAATCTTTGTTTCTATATATTTTTGGCAGCTGGAAAGTATCTAATGCCGAAACAAAATTGTATCACCTTATAAAACGAAAACTGACCTTAATTTAAATTTTAACATAAGGGAAACTAACTATGCCAAATAACATTCTTTGAATTAGAAATTTATATTTAGATAGTGTAACAGTTTTAATCGTCTGAAACCCTCTCCACTAATAACATCATAAACATAGACATAGTTTAAATGAAGTAAAAAACTAATTCATTTCACTAAACATAAAGTGATAAATGTTAGTAGATTTTGTGGCTATACGTAAATGTAAATGGATTTTTTAATTAACAAAGTACATACCTCTGTACAAAAAATCCACCTAATGCCTTTAAGACACCTCGACCCCATGTAGTTTGATGACTAGAATCCATACCGCTATAAAAAAGAAGAATGAACAAATTAAAACTAAGTGGTATTCAGAATACATGTGAAAATATGCATGTAGTGAAAACTAGAAACATTCACAGGATACTACTCTATTATAGATTTAGCAATTTTTCTTTCTACAGCAGGAGAAACCAAAATGATTCGCACCTAAAAAGCAGATAAATTAAACAACCGAGATTGAAATTCATCAACAAAAACGAAATAAATGCATCGTTACAAAAGCCTCAAGATAAATTACTAAAGGATTCACATTAACCGATAATGTTGAAAGCTTGCCCCAGTTAACAGCTATTCTTAATCAATAACGTTATAGGACCTACAGATAACCAACTACTACGATGGTCTTCAGGAGGGGACAGTCGCACCAATCGCGAGTCCGAATAGCTCAGTGGTAACGTCTCTGACTGCAGGTGGCACTGAGTGACGCGGGTTCAAATCTCAGAAGGGACATGAGTTCCTTCGAGGCTGCGCATATGCCTTGCTGACGAGTGCCAACTAGCACGAAACCTAGGTGTCCAAGGCTTCCTGCCGCTTGCCTCCAACTATCTAACATCAACAATTCAAAGTGCACCGTGATGGCGAGCTACCTAGAATGGTGGTCACATTGCAAACCTGACTGACAAAATTCAGTCTGCACCGAAGATAAGACTAGACACATCACACTAGTTACCAGTGTCCAATGAAAGAACAGTTATATTCATTTATGAAGAATTCTAAAAATCGCTTCGCACTGACGATATCTCGAGGGACAATGAAAACTTCTCAATTAAATCACCTGGCTCAGAGAAAACAACCACACGAAAATATCTGCCTGAGCTACAAATCTCCATCATCTCAATAACCAACATCATTCAAATATTGAGCGAAACAAAAATCGCCACAATATGCAGATAGAAAGTAATACAAGGATGATTGCTGACTGTTTTGCAGTATGTTCTTGAAGAGTAATCACAAACACGTATTCTTAAGCTTTATTGAACCTAGTAAGAGTTAAGGTATAAAATCTTCTGTTCAGGGGATAATAACGCTGAATTCAGTGATGAAATAATCACGTAGTTTTACAGAAACATGACCTTTTTCCTTATTCTGAAGACGTTCGATTATATCCTAGATTTACCGCGGAAACAGCGGTATATATTGTAACCACTCAACAACAAAAAAGTTAGGAACAGTTAGTAGATTTCAATGACTTTGAAGTCAATATGGCTGTGAGCAATCTGAATTCAGAAAGTGTTATAAGATCAGGTAGTTTCAAATGTAGTTTAGAATTATGGGGCGATGTATGATAAACACGACTGCCTCTGATCGATATGAATGACCGAATGTTACAATGCACTCTACAAAGTCCCCATACTTATGTAGTACATACGTGGCATGATGCAGATTGATAGGAAGCGACCAAAACTGAAATCAACATTTTAAGTCAGTGCCTGCAGAGTTTACGTTGTGCGCATGAAACAGCCTCATCGGACAACCTTCTTAACCTTGGACCAAGTGCCAACCAGTCAGAGCGATTTATTCTCCTCTGACCTAGCCGAACTTTAATGTGGCTAAACTGTATAAATATGATGTTTTGCTATAATAAAGACCAATTACGAAGTCTATTATCTTCGCCTGTTACGCATATACATAGTCTACCTGATGAAAATAAACCTGAGAACACCTGGTTGTGAATATAGCGTTTTGAGTCAGGTGCCAAAGAAGAGACACATTTCTCAGCACTATATGCCAGTTGTATTTCTTGACTTAAATCAGATATTTAATGCTGCCGAATGAAGGATTCTGTAAGACAATTTTATATTGTCCACAGTCTCACCACCTTATCATAGAGATCCTACAGGAAGATGTCACGTAGGATGCCTAGATTGAATAGTATCCATCAAGGATGTCCACCATCATCATCATCTATAGCAAATAATTTGTGGATGTTTCAATGTACTCAATTTTCTTCCTCCAAAGAAGTTACTTAGTTGATTTAGAGCAAATATACAACACAGTCTCATTAGACAAAGGTGCTGCTCAACACTGAGTAAAAACCTAGGATGTACTTTTCATGTTCTTGACTTTGACGATTACTGATGATTTTTATTTCACTTTATTACCTTTTACATGGTGTGCGTACGTAAGACGTAGTAACTTCAACTATTACGCAGTAACACAAGGTTCAACTTTCATAGAATCCTATTTGTAAATTTAGTGTACAGGATTCAAAAGTAAACTGTACATAAGCAAAAGAAGAATGATGCAATTAAGGCTGATAATGATGTCAACATTGGTGATGAAACGACCACGATAAAATCATGGACACATACAATACTACCAAATTGTTCCCGAACAACACTTACTAACTCATGGTGTGAATAATAATTTCATGAAATCCAAAAATTATGTTTAGAAAAAGTCACTCCAGTTAGAAAATCACTGACAACCGACTGAAAAAATGAAGTACAGCAATATGAGAAATACAATAACTATCCAACACTTACTAGTTTATAGATGAACGAGGATCGGAAGGTGTTTTAGTGGCTGAATGTGTAGATTGCAAACGTAAAGCTTCTTGACGCAGAGCAACTGCTTCTGTACCCTGAACTGTATGTGATACTTTCATTTGTGGAGTAAGGGATGGAGCGTTTACGGTTTTAGTTGCATCATCTGACCACGTAACATTAACTGTTTGATCTGTCTGATCTATGGTGGTGAGACTGCGACTAAGTTCAGATTTTTCATTTCGAAGACTTGATTGTTCCGACTGCATATGTTCTTTATATTGTTCTGATATATCCTGACTAAGACGCCCATCATTTTGCACCTTTCGTTTTAATTCTGATGGAGTTTGTTGGGGAGAGCGAGGGTTGAGAGATGAAGCATCAACTGACTTCCAGACACCTTGAACAAGTGTAGCAGCTGTTTCTCGAAGCTCACATTCACCATAAGAATCAGATGAAGTACTACTTGAACTCGCGGGACCCATTCCGTTGGTGTCCGTTGTACCCCGCTTGTGAGTAGCCGCATGCACAGAACGATGAGAGGTATCTGAGATGGGCTTTTCAGCTTCTGAAGTTATTCTGTTTGCTTTTGGTGGAAATGAAGCCTTATGACTTCCAGATGATATACTGGAAGTAATAGATGAGGGATGAGCGCGAGGACTAGACGAATCTGGCTTCAAAGAATCTTGAGAATCGCGTGGAGCTATATGTCGAGGTGTAGCTGAGTGATTTGCCGGACTACCATCTGTGTTGTCAAGAGGACCTGAAGGGGGATGATGCTGATTAGCTGGCAGACGCTTGTGTAAATGTTGCTGTTGAGGCGTACCAAAACCATGCTTTTTGACAGCACCGATAGGGACAGGTGCTGCAGTGATGACACCTCTGAAAAGCCAAAAACGGACAATATTTTGTTTTATTCTTAAAGACAACTAATCAGGGGAATAGGAAAAAATGTACAACATCAGTGGCACTGGCGACGTGATTAATCTAGGCGGACTGATTGTTAAACGCATTTAACTGAATTGGTGAAGGTAGACTGTATATGATACCGCTAGATTGATGTACAAAGTAAGGATACACAAAACAATACTCAATTATTTCATCATCTTACTTTACACGACTTCTTAAAGTGGAAAAATTTCAGGATGTAGAAGTAATCTTACAAGTAATCATGAAATATTGGGAATCAATCCGGGACACTTTGGGTTAGAAAATATAAACACCTCTTATATTGAGCTTTTTGTATGAGAGTGCTTCTGTGGTGTGAGCTGTCTGCTAGTCAAATTGGTAGACAGTAATTTAGGTCAATGTTTATGTCCCAAATATTGGTCATGTGAAAGCAAGAACAAAGACTGACTCAACAACCAATCACATCAGACTTTGCGTAGGCGGATACAATTAGCAGATAGATGATCTGACCTTCAAGAAACAGCCACAAAAAGATGAAAGATTAACTTTCAGTGAGAAACAACCAATCAGAAGACTGTGTTTGTCTGCTAACAATAATCTATAATAATGTACATGAAAATCTATAAATATGTGTTGATTTCCTCAATAAACGATCTGTTGCCTAGCCCCTGTCTTCTGTTGTTACACTACAACACAGTGGTTTTTCATGTGATTCTGAAACTGAAAAACGACGCCACCTCTTGTTGTATCTATCAATCCAGCTGCTCCTGTGTAACCAGCTATACTGGCCGTTGCTCTAGGGACTTAACCTTTCGTGCTAGGGACCACCTACTAGAGTTGCTAAATAAAGGTGTGGTGAAAACCATCGACAGTTCCATATTAAATCACTTCGTCCAAATAGGTCCCAAAGCTAGCACTGAAGTCTTTTTTCTATCATCTACGGAATACACTGCCTAAGGTCTCCGAATATCATATACTCCAAAACAGCTAAAGTAATTGCAATTCACTTAGAACAACCAGAGCTATGCACGCAGAAGAAACAGGTTCAGCCATTACTGCTACTCTGGTTTGCTGTGGAACCTATAACTTCATAAATTTTGTATTACTTCCCTTAATTTATCTGATACTGAGTTTAGTGTTATATTTGTGCATATTATGACTCAAAGGTGCTTTTGAACTATAATCTATTGATATTATTGATTTAATGTTATTTAAAACACTAATATTGTTGATAACAATTCTTTAATTATTATGGACATACAACTATGGGACCTGATGAAGGAGTTATGGAAGAGAATATTTTTCCTTCACTAATCAGTTTCTTAAAATTTCTAATGGGTATCTTTAATCACTTTATTTAGTTTTTAATTTTGTATGATATGATGAAATGTCATAAAAGTATGTTAGCTAACAGAAGTACTTTTCACTGGATTCACAACTTCCAAACAATATTTCTCAATTTACAGAAAGGCAGTAGTTACAACTCTCTGCAACCGAACTCAAACAAACAATCACTTTTTCAAAGCCAAACAATACATGGGATAACATTAGAATAATTTTGACCTGTTAATCTAGTATAGGGTTGTTTTCCATGCTGAACAACATATAACAGTATCGTTGACACTGTAGTTAAAAAACGCCTCCTATTGGTTGTATCTGCATTACACAATGTTTTATTGAAGTGAATCATATTGAATATTTAGTCACATGAAGGGGTAATGAATAATGCGCTCACTTTAAAAATTACATACAAGCGATATACACGAGTTTAGTGATAGAACAGTCCAGTTCAGTCCTTTTGTATAATGAGTTGTTCTAATAATCGTCTAGTACAACAGGTTCCACGAGTCTCAAAGTTTAAGTCATTCACGTTATTACGGATTCAATATTGATTTTTTCAGAAATGAAGGATAACGTGAAACTTGATTTGTTTATTGTGATACTCTTAAAAAATCATCCAATGTATTAAAATTTAACGAACTCAGAGAAAAGACAGGGATTAAACTCTCTGGAGGTCTTTATTTTACTTTTTGGTGGTTTCAGAGAAACTATTATTCCTAGACCAACGAAACTAAGAAACGTTTTATACAACTACTCAATAACTTTGTGAATTATAAAGAATCATACAATGTAGGTAATTACACGAAGTGAAAATACCGAATGTTTTACATTCACATTAAATTTATGTTGCATAAAAGAAACGTACCTCCCACCAGCAGCAGTTTTCGGTGTAGACTTATTATGACGTGCTGAAAGTGAAAAAGAAACTTTCTACAATAAATATTGAAGGTTGAAATATGGTAGGGAAAAGGGAATAACATGAACTTTTATGAAGATGAAATATTACTTGTAGTACCTGTGAATGCTAAGATTACTAATATAAATACGTGTCATATTCAGGGTACAGTTCCTGTCTTACACCCCCACTCAAAAAAAAATTGATACAACTGAAATAAAATAAGAATTACGAGAGTCAGTTGTCAAGCTCTAAATGAGGAATCATGAACCTTCGACATTCGTAGTTGCCTCATATCAGTACATGATAATCTGCCTCATAATACATACGCATGGAAATTTAGCAACATATATACATAAAGCTATAATTGGATGTAATAGAGAAATTGCAGCTTTCTTATCCCATGGATTTTCTCGTAAAAAGAGAATACATTTAAACGTCGTTCTTCCTAAGTCACCATCAACTGTCTTCCTCATTATAAGACAACATTAATTATATATCACTCTCTAACTGTAAACTTACAATACCTTCCTCTTGAAGATTCTAATTTATGCAATATTATCACTGAGCACTGGGAATGGTGCCCCAGATAATACTTCTGAGAACTGAATATCTATTAACCCAAAAAACTGTTATACTGTAACACGAATAGATGCTATTATGTGTCCGCTAAACATTTAGGCTTTAATTCTGCTATTCAACTAACGCTATGGTGATGCGGCAAACTATGACTTGAAGATGTAGACAACATTAGATTCTACGATATAAAACACACTGGAAAACTGCATAATGCTTGGTAGAACGCTTGGCCCTTCTGAACAAGTGATACTTTAGGACTGAGACGGACCGTGAAAATCTCCGTTATTTTTGTGTACTGTCTGCATACCCTATAACTGCGGCTAGAAAGCCACAAAGAATGTATGCTAGTGGAAGTTATCTGGTAAAATATGACAGTAGACCATTAAGGCGCAACTTAATGATATTATTCATAAAATGTAAAGGAAATGAGTCGGTTATGATCTAAGACAAAAGAAATTGATGACTGGTGACTTTACCTGAAGTCTGTTGTGAAATTCAAATGTGAACATAAAGTTAAAGGTAGGAGAAAAGTGGACAAAATGAGAAATAACATAATCAGACAAAGGGTACTGTAAGAGAAAAGACCAAGAGGGGACAAATAGAAAACAAGATATTATAATCAATATGGAGTGAGTATTAATGTATTGTAACACTGTCGAACTTTAATGAGTAGTTACGTGTTTCACTTACGTCATAAGTGACGAAATTTAGAGCAATCTATCCGTATCTGTGTTGCGATCCCCCTCACTACAAATCGACTGTGGTAAATGGGAATTTCCAGGTGAGTGAAATGATCGGTGACCACGATCAATTCACTCCTTATTTTCAGGTAGATAGACCAGTCACTAACTGACAACTTCAATTTCGAAGACGTCATCTGTAGTCGCAGTAGAGTAGACATCATTTTCATTTAGATTGCAACATCATAAACCTTCATGTTACTTCCTTTGTTTCACAAATTTTAGTGACTTGCCATAGTACTGTTCTTGTTTCCGTTTTCCCCATTGATGTACTGATGTGGAGTATAGAAGCTTGAAGTCTAAGGCATTATTTCCATATCCTGTGTTAGGTCTGCTGGATCTTTCTTGATTGGCATAGACTAAAATTTCCTACTGTGAAGTAATTACACTAATTTTCAAGTGTTGGTATGCAGGCATTCGACGTCAGTTTGTGGTCTATAAGTTGGAATTAGTTACCACAAATCAATTAATGATCAGATCATTTCTATCTAGCTTATAAACCATTTATCCATAACTTTAACACAAACTGGAAAACAGCAGAAAAATACCTGTAATGGACTGAGCATTAGCACGAGTAATACTGTCTTCATTACTCGTAGATGCGGCTCCACCTCCAGCAATAGTTCGACCCATTTGCATGAATGCCCTTCTTAGGGCTACTGGTAAAGTGGATGTCAATGAATGATGCTCTCGATTTCCAGAATCAGCGGTAGAAGCATTTTTCTGGTTTCCAGGTGTTTGGTTTGACTCTGATGTTAAACTACCACGCTGATATTGAGAGGTATGTTCATTCGTTTTGACACTTGGCGCTACTGTGAAACGTCCGATCGCAGTGGATTTAGTGGAAGAAGTTGATTCTGTGTTACTTGCGGGTTGATCGTGAACACTTCTACTCTGTCGATCATTAGTATATAATGCATTAGATAATACTGCAGTGTTAGGTAGTGCAGCTGATGCAGGATCTACTTCTTTGCAAAGCCTATCAAAAATTAATATGACATCGGTCAGAAATAGGGGGATGCAGATGTGACGCCGCAGACTTACTAAAAACTAAAATTTAATATTACCACAAATACAATTAGCAGAATCATTAGATGTCCACCGGCGAACTTAACGAAACAAACAACTAAGCAGAATGATGGAATAAGGAAAATCTAATAGGATTTTACGCAAACAAAGGAACTAACCGACTAGTCTAGTGCAGTATGCTACCGAAGTGAATTAAAACCAAGTATACAACATCCACATAATTATGCATACCGACCTTTTTAAGGAGTCAAATAAGTTTAGATTCTGACACAGTCGAATCAATGTCGAATCTCTCATAGAAGTTCATTTAGTCCAAGTTATCACACTTAAAAACAGCACATGCAGGAAAAGAACAAGAGAACATATACAGAAAGACAAAACACTGAACAAAAATGTGAAAGAAGGAAATAATGCAGCAAAAACTGATGAAACTTCAGGACTACGACTGCATGCTTGTACCATGGTGAATGATTTCTGGGTTAAGTCACCAAAAATCGCCAACCATCATTTCTTATCGGCCTGGGTATCCCAGACAGGCGACCACACCTTTCTACATGGTTCAGAACGAAATTCAGTGACCGTGTGAACTCTGCCTTCTGCATAGTCCAAAGCAAACATCTATTTTTTCTATGGCGTTTTCTGAAATAATGAGATTAGGTAGTTACTTCTTGTGGCACATAGAAAGCGGAGTTTAATGAGAACATTGACGCCGGTGAGCATTGATCAACTGTTTTCGACACCCTCTTAACAACCAGAAGTCACATCCTTCGATCGACAGAGTAGAATTTCGTCTTCATATAAAAAATATTACAAGTATTAGGCGCCAGTGGATATGTTTATGCTGAAAAATCTGCCAAAAGGTAAGCTGTGATTGATAGATCTCATGCATACTTTGAATCTACTTGGTTGTCTTAGGCTTGTGGCTTCTTCCACTAGGCCTTTGAATGTTTATAGACCCCACCATTTTGGCAAAATACTTATTTTTGTGGATATTCTCCAACTAGAAATCTGAAAGTTGAGGTTTGAACCCTAAAATTTTAACCGCAACTCCAAAGTGTTAATGAAAATTATGACAAAGGCAACTGGTCCACTCATTGCCCATTTTTGAATCATCACTCTTATTAGGCTTCCTATACAGGTACACAGTTTACTGCACGACAATATTCACACAAATGCATACAAAAAAAGCATGACCTAACATAATATTGTTTTAAACTTTGGCACTTCATTATTGCAGATACATAGACATTGGAGATCGACAAAGGTAATGATTTGATGAACTGTGAACAGCAGGCATCACAAGATTCATGGCACTGCATTCCACTGACCCTTGATGAGTGTGAAAAAACTGGTAGTTATTGCTACAGCAGTGACGGTCACAATAACCAGATGTTAGGACGCAGCTCTGAAACATTCACGTAGAATTTTATTCTATTAGATAAGTTTTATATTTTGAATTAGTCAAATAAAACAGGCATACTGAATTCCCAACTACTCAAAAATAGCGATCAGTTTTCTGAAATAATAATTTTGCAGATCAAATAACTTATAAAGGGTGGGTAAGACAAATACCAAGTACTTTAGCTCTCTAAAGCATTACTGTGTTAAACAATCTGCGAATAATTTGATAAGTGACGGCTAGCTGTGAAGTCCAAAACAAGGTTTTCATTCCATGTGCGACTCGTCAGATGGATAGATCTGAATTTGAATAGGTGATGTCTCCATCGAAACCCGTGGACTCAGTACACTATTAAACAGCAGTATGATATATGAAACTATGGGGCGTTTTTGAATTTACTGTAAATTTGTCAAACTTATAGGCAAGCTAACAGGTATTGTCTATACCAGTACGTTGAGGTGGCATGAGAAATTAATTGTGATTTTCCAACAGCCTATTAATATCCCGACAATAGATATGGAGTTTAGCATAAGACTATTGCATCTGTAGTTTGAGGGAGATAATAATGCATCTGAAAATAAGTACATAGCTTATAACGTTAGTATCACACACTACGACCACCAGGAAGAAGAATACATTTCTACACCCACATCGCTGAAAAATGTTTCGATTTCTCTCATTTGTAACATGTGCTGATACCGTTACTAGTACAGGAGACAAAACAGTGAACCATAACATGCCACTCGATAACTCCAAAGTAAACAGAAATAAATAGCATAGAAACAAGTAAACATTAAACAAATAACCTATGGTTAATTATGTACTTATACAGTTGCAACAGTATTATACTATAGCATGACTATTTATGTTCACTGTATTGCTCTAGTACATCAATTTTTCACATAATGAGATTAATTTAGTAAGCAACAATAAGAAATTTTTTGAAAATCCATAAATGAATTTCTTGGTACTTACTCGACAAACTGAGATGGAGTTTCAGGAAGTAAATGATAAGTTGCATACACATGATCAAACTCAGGGTTAACAACTGATGACTCTAAATCTTTTCTTGTAAAACCCATTTCCTCCATGGCTTTTACCCGACTATCATCCAGTTGAGATTTCGGTGGTTCTTTGTACGGGCGAAGATGATCACCTGGAGCATAACCCATATTGACCCATTTATCCTGCATTAAAGACTTGAAGAGAATATAAAAGACAACAGTCAATATTACGTTTACTTTCCCTTAAAACTATGTATTTAAATGGTTACCATGAATGAAGGAAACTCTTCTGTAATTTGTAATATAAGGTGAAAAACTCACTGCTAACTGTTGAAAACACACCTTTATTTTAAGTTTGTGAAAAGGTCAACATAACATAATAAGTGAATTCAACTTCACACTCTTAGACAGTCAGACAAACAAAAAGAGTATGTTACGCTATATGAGGGTGTATGAATACGCGTACCCAAACACCAAAACAGACAATTATACAGGAACAATAAGAAAGCTGTGTTCGGCAAGGAGTAGATAATACAGAGTAAATACACTTACATGACTATGATCAACTTCGAAATATTATAACTACTGAGCGAAGATCAATGACTCAAACCAAAACACCAATGGACAATAGTAGTGTATGTGACATTACAATGAATATATACAAACTTAAAACAGACTATAAAGGCGAACCTTTGACAACTCTGACTACTAGAGATTTTGTATAAGATACAATTGCCTTTTTAGATAAAATATTCTGCTGTGCGGAAAACATGCTCAACAATCAGAGGTACACACACCTATTATAATGACGTGAAATGCATTCATTCCGAGTATATGATGCTTGCTAAGAGGAAAATAATACTAAATATAACTTTCTAATTTCAAAATCACATTAATGCTTATATTCTGTTAACAGACAGAAGATCAGTAGTTCAGCGAAGTCTCTTTTCGGCGAATTCATTTTCATAGCTGTACAATCGCATACATATATGGTTGTTTTGTATGCGTGTGTACATCAAATTTGCCAAACGAAAATACAATTAGTAAGTTCAGATGAATTGAATGTTGAGATAAGAGGGTAGTAACAAGTGATCAGTTATCACAAAGGATTGTTAAGGAAGAGTCACGTAATAACATGAATACTTTGATGAAAGAGTTATGCTCAAGATGTACATGGAAACAAGATAACATACCGAATTACGCAAGAGTTTTAAGTAGTTAGAAAAATAAGCATACAAGCAAAAGTTAATTCAAACCAACAGAGTTGTTACCATGATAGTAGAAGTGGTTGAATAATTCTCGTTTGTATGCATAGTTCTGGTTCTTCTAACTGAATGGCTAGGGCTTCTGTAATGCAAAGAAGACGGAAACGTATTGTTTTTGGCAGGTTGTTCTTCACTTTGTAGATTACTTTGAAGGAGGCGTTTGTTGAGATGGAATGACCAGTGATGACGAGATTTTCGATTATTGCACTCCTTATACGGCCACTACTTCCTTTCTGCAGCCACGCTGAATAGTGTTCTTTGATAGGATGCGTGTCGAACGACCGATGTACCTGACTCCACAGCAACAAGTGACCTGACATGTACACAGAAGTGGTCAGGTCCGGGATCTTGTCCTTTGGGCTTCTGCAAATCAGAGGGCGACAAGAGAACACTACTCTCAGTGTTGCCACAAAGAAAGTTCTTCTTAAAGAAGTGGAAATTCTCCTCCTAAGGACATCACTGAGTAGGTCACCTTTGAAGTTGAGGTTCATATAAAGTATCTTTTTGGTATGGATTTTCTGTTTGATGTTTTTGTCTATGAACCTTGGTGGATAACCGTTTTATATGAAGATTTCTTTCAGGAAGTGTAGTTCTTCTTCCAGGGTATCAGAGCTGCAGATCCGTCGGACGCGAGTAGCAAAAAATTGGTACCCAGCTGTAGAAGCTTGTCAGTTGGCCATTCTATGAGGGTTTCCTATGGATGGACCTTCTTAAAGTTCCGTCAGCTCTCCTTGTAAGTTCAACATCAAGAAAAGGAATTTTAGATTCGTTTACAAATTTCAACAGTGAACTTTGTAGCTGAATGGCATTTGTTAAATATTTGTAGTAACTGATTAAGATCGTGACCATTATCACAAGTGTTGTTCGCATATCTAGCATACAATTGGAAATTATCAATAGTTGATGTGAGTGGGCCGTTCTTGAGGTTTGGTATGAAGCAGTCTGCTAGCATTGGACCCAGTGGAGATCCCATTTCAATCCCATCTAGTTGTCTGTAAATAACATCATTGAATGTGAGTTGTACATCTTTTAAACAAGTCGTCGGTAGTCCGATGTTCAGCTGGTTTTTGTCTATATATTGACAAATGTGACAGACAGTTTCTGTGAGTGGAACGTTGGTAAACAGTGACTCAATGTCAAGAGAGAGCATATTTTTGTCTGTTGCATTGATATATGGTATACAGTTGACGAAGTGAAAGGTGTCACGAAGCGAATAGTGGCACATCTGTTTTCGTACAGGTTCTAAAATGTCAGCTAACCATTTCGCTATTGAGCGGTCCAGGGAACCTAACATGTTGTGATAAACACCGCTTGCAATGTTTTATTTTCCCGGAAGTTATCAAGCACTCAATAATGAGATTATATGATTTTAATTTAAACAATAAACACTGTGAATTTCAAACTATAGCTCACTTAATATAATCTCGGAGGTTTTGTGTTATCATTAGGCCTTACATAATGATTATGACTATAGTGTTGGTATGATTACCCACAATTATACACTTATTCATGACACGAAAGCATATCTTTTTGATTGAAATTCAAAATTATTTACTTTTTTAAAGTGTAAAATACTTGAACACAGTGTCCACTGATATAATGTCAGACATCATAAAGATGAATGTATAACTATCTACGTGCTACAGCAATTTTACTACATTAGAATCCAAGATTACTTGGGTGTACGTTTAGAAACATAATAATGCAGTGACTAAGATTGTTAAACGCAGTTTTAATTTGTTGTGGAAAAAGAATTCCAGTCAAAATTTTCACTTCCTTCACGTACAAGAAAGAAAAGACCGCACTTGTTCATAACAACATACAACACACTACCTTTAAAAGACATGGCTGAAGAGTGATCTTTGTATATACGATTATACAAACTCAACACACAACAATCTATAGAATGAAGACGAAATATTGAACAATTTAGCAATATAAATCCTTAATTCTACATTTTCATCTGAAGAATTCCGTGAATATTTCTTTACTTACAACTAAATAATAACGAAGCATATTTTAGTTGAGACTGATTAGAAGGGAATAAGTGTAAGTTCGACCCCGTAATGTAAACATTTTCAGATAAGAATCATTTCTTAATGTCATTGACCCACCTATTACACAAATTCAAATGCGGGTACTGTCTGACTGACTACCAGATGAGCATAACAATTTGCATAGAAGTGTATCAATTTTACACTATCACACGTTAAACAACAAGGGAATAATGAAACGAAGACTGATGAAACTTTCCAGAACTTCAAACACGATTAAGACTGCATACCTGCACCATGACGAGTGATTTCTAGTTAAGTCATCAAAAATCACTGACCATCATTTCTTGGGTATCCCAGACAGTCAACCACACTTTATCACAGGGTTTAGAACAATAACCGGTAACTTCACTAATGGTTTGTAGCCGTTTCATATTTATTTTCGGTCGTTGGGTTGTATAAGGTGAGCCACTGAGTAGTACATGCGTCAGGATATTCCACTGGAGCCTATGATGAGACAATTGGTAAATGCACTAGTGCATATCCATAGAGATAAACTAGGATAAATATTGATATATAAAAGTAAAAAATGAGTCAGGAGAAATAATTCTCAAAAAAACACATACTTTTAGAGACGACCGGTCTTTTGGATCTAGAACTAGCATTTTCCTTAAAAGGGCATCACATTCTGGCGAAACAGAACCTCTAGGTATAGTATAGTGCAGCCCCAAAATTTTGCTTCGAAGTTCACGAAGATCACGTGCATCGAATGGCAGATGACCCAGCACTAAGGTAAACAAAATAACACCGAGTGACCAAATGTCCACACCAGGTCCATAATATGGAATGCCCTTGAAAAGTAACAAGAATGCACCAAAATGGATTAGACTCATTAATAAAAATTCCATTAAATTACGACTATATGATTTATTCAAGTGAAATACTTATGCAAACATAAATTAAATTTATAGATCTAAAGGAATTTGAAAGTCTCTTAATTAAGCAAACATCCAACATAAGTAACATTCAATTTGACGATTGCCTGGCTTAACGTCATCAAAAGCCCATAAATGATACCAACAGCTGTTGCTTCTACTCTATAAACATACCAACGCGAAATTTAGCACGAAAATGCAGCACTCCACACAGCACACAAACAAGGAGAAAAAATCCAAAGGAACTATAATGAACGCAGAGGTGTAGCAGACAGTAAAATTACGTGGAATAGTGAGAATTTAATGGGTTTAAGAAATTGTAAAGAATGAATACATCTGCACCATTGAGAACGATTTCGAGCCAGGTCAACATCAGTCTTTAGCTATTAGTTCTAAGTATTCCGATGAACCCAACCAAGCACTCTACACCTTTCTACATGGCTTAAACCAGCTGTCAAAAACTTTACAGACAGATGCCATGTTTTGATTTGACCACCCATAACTCTTTTCCAAATCGTGTAAATAAGCTAACATCACTCGATGAGGAAGGAGATGCCTTAGCACGCATAACATTTCCTAGCCACCTTAATTGAAGCAGCATCACAACCTCACCAACTGACTTGTTCTTGTTACATAACACTACATATAATCTCAATATTGCTAACCATATTATACCACTTAACAAGGGAGACAGAACGCAGACACATATGGTCAAAGACAACTTGCCTCTGCTTATCCTCTTTCAGCGACCACGTTTCAGCCATAAGGAAGGACGGAGCAAACTTATGCACAGTACATACAACCTTTGATCGATGGCGGAATATCTCAGCTACGTCATGTATGACACACCTTCGTAAATGGCAGACAAGCCGTTTGTATTCATACTGAGATTCCGTCAGCAATGTGTCCATCAGGGCTAATGAGACTTCTGAAATGGGTGAACTGATTGACACTCAATCACTTCACTTCCCATCTTTAAACTAGGGGCCGGTGTGGACCAGTCCTGTAGCATTTTATATTTGATGGGAGTGAACAGAGTGCTAAACTAAACCAAAACTTTCCCTATGATTTTCTTTACTGGGAGGGAGTAATTATTAAGTATTAACGCCCTTTTAATATTCTTGAATTCTTCAATATATTGTTTTCGGGTCAATAGTTAAAATCCTAGCTCGTTTGTTAATCATTTTTACTACGACTGCCTTAACAGATACGGAATGAGAAAAAAAAGCCTGGATACATATGCCATAGTGCTTATCTTCGATAAACACTTATGTGACTTTTAATATGATTATCAGCAATAAATTGTGTTCGAAAAGTTAACCAGTAAACAACACTGTTACTATATGCTTTTGCTAAACAAACGAAATAGCATGAAATTACACGTTATAATAGGGCCAATTTTTACTTGCATATCACTGGTAGCGACATTCAATGCAGTATAGAAAGTGAATAACGATGTACTGTGCTTTGTAGGTCAAAAATGCTGAATTTACATCCAATAAAAATCAAACTAGATTGAAAAGATAAAGCAGGTTTCAGTTGATTAATCTGATAATTTATGAACCGCAACATTTGAGTATTAGCTGTTCTTGAGTGAATGAGCAGCATGACACCATTGCTTGTTTAATGGTGCATGGGGAGACTAGCAAACAATCTAAAATTATCGCTTGACATTTCAGATTGCAAAGCACAACAACCTTCATACAGGTAATAAAAAGTCAGAATTTAAAATAAAATCGCAAACTGTCGTTAAACTCTAGAAAACAGAAGAAACGATAAGATAAATCGAGACACATTCTGAGAACAACAAATAGTATGAATGAATTTGCAATTTGTTCTGGGTAACGTCACTCAGTCTCCAGCTAGGTGCTTCAGTTATTATGTAAACCCAAGTTAGGTGATGTGCACATTCCTACACAGCTCAGACAGAAAGTGGTTCCATGTGAATTGGAACCGTTCCTTAGTTTAACCCCCCCTTGGCTTTCATAAAAGTTCATCTTTAGCTGACAATAGGGAGCGGTAAGGCGTAATACATCCAGGGCGTTTGGGTGAGCCTTTGAGTGACTGATAATATTTATCCTCTAACGGTAAAAATACACACCTTTACAAAGGTGACACTGCCAAATCAGTCATAAAATATTGGTTCAAATACTTGTAAGCACCTTGTGAGATTTATTTTCGTCCCCCATAAAAGATAGTGTCATCTTTGGAAATATGAGAGCACTTTTGCAAAGTATGCCTATAACACTTTCACCAACAAATGTACGTTAAACATAGGTCTTCACAAGTCACAGTTGCAGCTGCTGCTATCTTCATACTTATTGCGTCTGAAAACATGGCCTCAGTGTTACACTCACATATCAGGCGTAGGATCGGTAAGAATACTTGAACATAGAAGATGAAAGTCTATCGAATCGCTTGAGAGTAAAAGATAGATGTTGAGTAATATCACTACTACAATCCTTCAAATGCTCACTTTTGATATCTAGTGAAGTGGTGTTCAGAATACGCACTAGCCTGAAGACTAGTAATCCTAAGCTATTACTCTGTCCGGTATTTTTTTAAATAAATTATTTAGGATGGTAATTACCATAACGGACTCGGAGTAGGTTAGGAAGGATTGGTCACATTCCAAGGATGGAAACTATCAACGAGTGCTCTAATGACATCTTCTGGGATTGGTTTGCATAGCCATTAAGGTGGGGGAAGAAACTATAGAGGATAAATAAGTCACTTTGGAAGAACAAGGTGAATCCGAACAAATTTACTAGAGAAAGAGATAGTGTAGAGATAATAAATTGCTTGTTCATATGTATTCATTATTGTCAGTAGGGTATTTGATAAGATGTTTCAATAAGACTTAATGAAGAAACTTGTAGACACCAAAACATTGTGATACAACTGCACACAAGGCACGGAGAATTTCTTAGTCAATTAACAAGGATTCAAAGCGATTTGGTGAAGAGATGTTTAATGATATATCCAAGGTAAGTGAGACCACCTCAAATAATGCAGAAAAGTAGTCAATCTTTTTTTACAGAAAAAACAAACATTCTGAGACGTATACAATGACTATGTTGAATGTACTTTGCATCGCCACTATGGCAAGGCAGTTTAAAGCTTTACCCTTAATGCGAGAAGGGATCCAGGCTTACTTAAGTGAGTAGCATCCAAAATAATGATTCTCATGTATCCCACTAACTCGTTTTAGAACTCTGAGGTTATCATAAAAAGGTTCAAAAGCCTTAGTTGAATAAACCACGGTGGAAACCAAGAATCTCTTCCCATAACGCTCAATGACTGAAACCTATTACAAGAAATTGGGACTCCACAACGTTAGTTTTAACATATGGTAATTCGCCTATTATTATAATAAGTGAGAACTACCACGCACGACACAAAACCAAAATAAAACAAACATAAGATGGTCAATTTTCACACCGATAATAAGAGTTTGTTATTCGATGAAAACTATCATACGGAAAATCTCACATGACAATGTAAAATACTGATAAAACTAACCAGAAACAATTCTGGGGCGGCATACGGTGGACTACCACAAAACGTTGTTAACCTCTGATCATATTCAAATGTGTTTGCCAGACCGAAGTCAGCAACTTTCACATTTAAGTTCTGATCCAATAGAATGTTCTCAGCCTTTAGGTCCCGATGAACAATTCGTTTGGCATGACAATACTGCATCGCCGATAATAACTGGCGGAATTTTATTCGCGCCTCCTTTTCGCGCATTTTTCCATTTGCAACCAAATAATCAAATATTTCACCTAGAAAACATTATACGAGGTTCATACGATTACCTCCACTTGCATACTCCATAACAAGGCACAGTACATCTTCGTTTTCAATTATTTCAAGAAGTTTCACTGAAAAAATCTCAGAAGAAATGAGGGCTTACCTATGTTTGGATGGTTTGTGACCTTCATAATAGTGATCTCACGCTTGAGCTGAACACATGGAATGCATGGAAAAACAACTGACTTACACGTTTCAGGAGAGTATTATCCATGACAGTCTTGTTGATTATTTTTATGGCAACTTCAACTCCAGTGGCCATATGAATGGCAAGTTTCACTTTTGCAAAATTCCCCTTCCCTATAGTACGTAAGAGGCGATACTTTCCAACGTTGTTATTCACCACAGGAGGGGCTACAACGGGATCAGAAGTCACAGTTTCAGGAGTCTTTGAGATCGTTCCAGGCTCCGCATCATGATTAACTGGCTCAGCAACTGGGACGACATCAGGTGTTGATGCGGGTACTTCAAAGCTTTGTTTTTCTGTGACTTCCTCAACATTAACAAGTGTCGAAGCGATATCAAACACTTCAGGTGCACAGGTGGCCATACTACTGGCATCAACCTCCATTTAGAGTAAAGCTTGATAAACTAAATCACTAAATTTACCAACTATAGACAACATAAACCTTTACTCACTGGTAAATATTAAGTCCAGAACAACAGTCGACCGTTTGTCTAGCCCGCCATTATAGGACGCCCTTCCCGCTTACTGCCCTAACTCCACCATCATCAGACCAAACAATGTGAAGTGATGCATAAGGACTTTTGGGTGAAACATGTAAGAACTTCAGCCTAAACAGTAGATTTAGACCAAAACTGATTGGAATTGTTAGTGGCTAATGAAAACATGGTACTTGAAGGACAACTAATCATCACATTAGATGGATTTAGTGTTCAGTTCTCTGTACTGACACAATTTGGGTACGCTTCGCGATAAGGAGTGAATATAGACCATACTGGTAATGAAATACATATACCCATCTGAATTTTCGTCACTCCGTCACTATTTAATTTATTTTAGATTACAGATTTTCATAGGTATTAAACCACAAGTTTATTTTAATGCTTTCGATTTTGTGTCGTGAAGGTCCACTTTCGTTGAAATGGTGTACTCCGGTAGAGAGTTTCACGATTCTGCCATACCATTTGAACTTTGAGATGATATCCTCAAAAGCGGTCGGTTGCACAGAGAAGAAATGATCGAGAAAAAATAGCACTCAAATCATTACGTAAAATAAAGGGTGCTAGTATGTGATAAATACTCAATGGAAATAAGTGTACCCAATCTAAACTCTTCTTAAACGAGTGATCTTAGAATCTTTCGCGTGTTTGAGTTCCCATTACTTTAACTGTTTTGTATTTGAAGCATAAACTAGCTCCCAGGACCCCGTATACCAAATTATTGCCGGTGAAAGTAGTAGATAACATGCGAAATATATCAGCGCCGAACATCACAAAGGACTTGTTGGAGCCCATAGTAATGTGAAGTCCTCGGCTTCATAGTTTTCTACTGTCTTTATATAAAGGTTCGCAACCACTCTTGAAAAATTATGCTTAATTGGCGTTGGCACATGATGTCTTCACTACGCATTTAATCTGAATAGCTATTTTAAAAGCACTTTACCTATAAGTGTTCCGAATGGTGGTCCTGCACTTTTTTTAATTGCCTGTATGGAAGGCACTTAAATATTTATTGGCAAAACGTCTGTTGATTGTCTTTTTTTAACATCCCAATGTCAAATTTCACACATTAAACTAGTGCAACATAGCTGACTCCGATGAACTAACTTCCTGGTGTCTACAGTGACTCGCCACCTGTGCGTTGACTTGCTCCCTATTATTTACCTTCGTCTTTATCTAATCTCAAATCTAAGTGTTTCTGTTTATGGTTTTGGGACACACTGATAATATGTTGTGTTTTAGATATGGTTTCATTTTGGAGAAGTCAGGATCCCTCTGACTTGAACTACCTTTGTTGTGTCATACTTGTGGACAGAGTTTGGATCCTGTTTTGTCTTACTAATAACTGAACTCCTTACATTTTAATTTCAATCAACTAATTTTGTCCAACAGTACTTATTTTTTATTTTATTGTGTTCTCTGAGCTGGTCCACTAAACTACGAGGCTTTCATTTTCCCACTAGAGGATATTTTCAACATCAGCTTTGTTATGATATGACCTTATTTGACTTCTCCATGATTAATACAAAACCTGTTTTAAAAAATCTGTTGATGTTTAAAGTGGTGGACTACTATAAATATAAGGAATGCAGTCGCGAAGCGCATCACAACAGTATTATGAGATCTAATGAGGAAATTGATCGATAACAATGCTTAGCGATTCGAAATTCCGAGGGCGCCATCTGCTTATCATATACGGCCTGTAAGAGAAACGCAGAGAATATTTCCCCCTGAGACCTACACTTTCTATGATTAAGTCCCCTCAGCACGAAATTAATCGTTGGCTTGCACAGCAGATGGAAACTACTCATCAACTACCAACTTGATATGATTATGAGCAATAGTTTGTGCTCGAAACGCCATCAGTAAATATTACTGTACAACACTGTGATTTATCAAAATAAAATCTTATCCATAATGGACTTATGCTCTGCCACAGTGCCCAAGTTTTATACTTATGTCAGTAATCTATTTCATTCCCCTTCAAGCCTGAACCCCATGAACGTCTCAAATTGGTACACGGCATCAGTTGACCAACTTCCTATTGCACTGAAGAGTGCACGCATATTAAAAAACAGGGGTGTTAGTGGACTGGATTGGTTATTCTGTGCACAAGTAGTTTTCTGACTTCTTCAGAGTTGTCTCCTGGCAACAGCAATATTTTCTGATGCTGTTATTCACTGTGTCTTACCCAAATGTTTAGGGTTATACGGTCACCAAGTTCCGGTTTCAGTGTCACTGTTGGTATTTTCTGGTCTACCCCTTTGATATTAAACCGATCAGCGTTCTTTCAGTTTCATTAGAAAGAAATGTTTGTTGACCTGGCGGTTATCGGCACTCTACTTGTTCTATTGTTAAACCTCAATGCTACTTCTTTAAACAAGCATCATTCGGTAAAAATTCTTTAATTCATACTCTGGTTACTTCCTTTAATTCCTGAGCTAAAGATGGCGGCTAGGAGTTTGAGAAGCAAACAATCAAGTAGGTGTCAACAACGGAAGCCTTCCTTTTGCTGGTAATATACTCGAAGGCGTGACTGGTTAATCTGAAGAAAAATGTCTGTTCAGGAAAGAGCCAATCCAGGGAATGATAGCATTTCAGTTGCTTTAGTGTGGGCCACTATATTTTGACATAAATCCAGTAGACTACCCCAACTTTGTGAGGGAAATCGGACTTATTCCTGTGTATACGGGAACAAACCAACTGTGCAGGTATGAATAAGTATTATTAAATTACATTAATTTGATTTGTGGTGAATTTACATTGTCGCTGTTCTTGTAGACTTGACTTTGTGGGAACAATCTGACAGCTAGCCAATCAATGCAGAACATTACGGAATATAGAAATACTGATTTCGCATTAAAAACTCAAGCCTATGTTGGGTGGATCAGAAAAAGACTGGGAAAAAATTAAAGTTTGGAGTCGGTTTCCCCACATACCTTTGTTATGTACGGCATTGGATATTACTCTTGATTTACAGGCAGATGGTTTAGTAGTTTAACGTGAATAATATATTTGCATCACTTCCTCAGCGGTGTAATCGTTAGATACCGTCAGAAGTAAGCTGTATTCCGTGCAGACAAACATCGGCCATAGCCATTCAGATTTGTTTTACTACAGTAGAAGGACTAAAGTTCTTCAGAGTCGGCCATTACCGCCATTTGTAGCCACATTGTATTCTGTACGCGTAAGTTGGTTATGAAATGGAAGACTGTTTGAAAACCAGTGGCATCTTCACTTTGGATCACGCGTACAGGATGATAGTAAGTGTCGTCAAATGGTAGATACGGAGTTTCTAAGGATGTTGAGTTGTTATGAGCCATTGGCTTTAAGAATGTTGTGGTATATGTGTAACGACAGAAAGCGAGAGTCAGGCAACAGATCGTTTATTGCGAAAATTAAGAGATATTTATATATTTTATGAACATTACTATGGGTTATTGCTAGCAGAGCAAAAGCGTCTTCGGATTGGTTGTTCTCTTGCTGAAAGTTAGTCTAGCATATCTTTGTGGCCATTTATTTGAAGGTCATACCATATATACGCGAATCTAATCCACACACGCAAAGTCTTTGTTCTTGTTTCTGTCATGTCCAAGATTTGAGACGTAAATGTTGACATAAATTGCTTTGTACTAATTTGGCTAGCAGACAGCTGTCATCACATATGTACGTAAGTGGATTCAAGTCCCGTTCGACTTCAGTCTTACTGCAAGTATGTTCAACTTCCACTACAAGGCAAATAGTAGAAAAGAGGCAAGCAACAGAGTACCATAAAAAGACTAAGTGTGTGGGCATAAAAACAGAACTTTATCTGTTTATATACGTGTTCACATTTTTACACATTGCTGTCAACCAAACATAAATATTGGTATTCTTTTCGTGTTTTTATACGTCTATAAAACTTGTCTTTTTATCGCTTAAACAGAGTAATTAGTAAAGCTTTACGCTTTCTTTAAACGCATAAGTTCCCTGATATTTTATTCTTCTTATAAAGAAATAAGGCTTTCGTATTGTTTCTGTAATCAGTAGGATGAGACGGTCTGTACGGAGAGCGCCTAAATCTTATGATGGAGTTTCAGGCTCTGATTTCTAAGAGTAAGCTGTTCCACATTTTAGAACATATGACGTAGTTTACACAGAGTGATGAGTTAAAGGATTTTATTGTCAGAGCACGCGCATGGTTACTCAGATATTAAGAGTCTTGCGGTGAGAATTTGATATCCTTATTATCTGAGGATGATATATTGTGTACGATCTTAAAGAAGAATATTAGCTGTATAATAAGTCGTCTCGTCCAAAGTGGGTCAGGATTTAGGGGGATACACCGTGAGATGTAGTCTTTCTTACAGTCGTACCCAAGTAGTTTGGACGTGAAATATCGCTGGACACTTTCTCTCCTTAGCTTGTCACGTACGCGAGTGCTACTTATAATAAATGGACAGTATTCTAGTAGTGGCCTTCCCATATTTTGTATAGAATTGGTCTGGCTTCGTTGTCGTGAAAGTTCCTGAGTAGGCATCCTAAGAGCATCCTCGACTTTTGAGTCTGTGATACCACTTGCTCAGAGAATGTTAGGTCACTAGAGTACCTCAGGCCTAAGTCAAAGACACTTCAGAGTCTGATTAAGTTAGCAGATTGAAGCGTTAATTTCACGTCAATTGAGGGTGCGCCAAAGCAGATCCAGACACATTTGTTCAGATTAAATTGTAGATTCCATAAAGATGACCAAGCAGTCACTTTATCTAATTCATTCTGTACAGAATTCTGGAAGCACCCTACGTTATCACATTGGAATGTATAAGCTACTTTTAGGCCATCTGCAAAGATGAATGGTTTCCCACGTGACAAGAAAACGCATATGTCGCTGATATAAAGTGTAAATCAGAG